CTTATGACTGGTTTTGTGGTCCAGGGTCACATATTTAATTTTTTCTGACCTGCATCTTTTAAAGAGTGACAGTGCTTGACCAGTAGATCTAAATGTGTTGGCTGCAATGGGATTTGGATCTAGATTGTATATTGAACATTTAACTTTTCTTATTATTTCAGACCAGATATGATGTCAGGAAGATTTGTTGCAATGTCTGAAATAATTTTGCACTTATCCATTCTCTCTACCTTGTTGCTTCAGGTTTTCCTGGCTTACCTGGTGCTAAAGGACTTCCACCAGTTCCACAGAAACTACCAGGTGAGAGAGGACCACCTGGCCCAATGGGTATTCAAGGACCACAGGGACGGAGTGGAAACTTCGGTCCTGCTGGACCTCCTGGTGATTCAGGTAGGATAATTAAAAGCCTCAATTTTAAACAAATATATCCATGAATATGATGCTTTTGCTGTGCTCCAGAATCATTGTGTAAATGGCTATTATCGGTTTACAGGGATTTGGGGTCCAAAGGGTGAAAAAGGCATGCCAGGTCTCCCTGGAATACCAGGAAATCCAGGCTTCCGTGGAGACCCTGGACAAATGGGCCACCCTGGTCTACAAGGCGAAGAAGGTAAATGGTGTGTTTGTGTAAGAGGGATGAGGATTATGGGATTCTGGGCTAGATTAGTGGATTAAGGATTGTAGATGACTGGTCACCAATGAAATGTGTGCCTTTCATTTTTAAGTCATTTTGGCAACTGGCAATGTTAATGTCATTTTGGTGGCTGGCATGTAAATAGGCTTCTTTGCTCACAAGTTGATAATGAATCTCAATTGGTAGGGACGCGAGGGGGTCCTGGTTCATCTGGTCCTATCGGAATGCCTGGCCGCAGTGTCAATGTTGGCTACCTGCTGGTGAAGCACAGTCAGTCTGAGCAGATTCCCATGTGCCCTGTGGGCATGTCCAAGTTATGGGACGGTTACAGTCTTCTGTACTTTGAGGGACAGGAGAAGGCCCACAACCAAGATCTTGGTAAGTGCAGCTGGCAAAGTAATAAAATCAATCACAAGATGTACAGTTATTGCATGTCTGACACCACCATTATTTGCAAAAATTTAGATCCAGAATCTGAATGTTGAATTTCGTAACACTGTTCAGTGTAGCTTATGAAATTGAACATGTGTTGTCTACAGTGTTGCTAAAGTTACTCACCAGAAGTAACCCATTACAGATACTCATTGCTTATAATGGAATCACATTACTTTGTCATTAGGAAAATGAAAAAGAAATCACAATACTGTTTTTACTTTTCAGTTACATTTTCTAAAACTCCTTCATATCGATGAAACAAAATGTAGCACCCAATACATAATGCTTATCTATCATACGACATATAAAAAACACTAGTACTGTTTTAGTATGCACACAAACTTAATTTCAAACAAACAAAAACTAAGGGTGTATTCACACCAGGAAAGTCCGCTAGTTCACTTGCTTTGGTCCGGATCAAATCCAATGTTGATTTTTTTGGTTTGGTGCGGTTCACTTTCACACTGCCCTTTTTGCAAGTGAACCAAAAACTATAAACAAAACCACACGTGTGCTAAGGTCATCCATTCATTGGTTCATCCATTCAACCGAACCAGAGTTTGTTTGGACCCGGACAGAGACCACCTCTTCAGCTGGGTCTCAGTACGGTTGTTTGGTCTGCACCCGAGTGCGATTGCTGTATTCACACCTGCCCAAAAGATCTGCACCAAGGGGGGAAACAAACTTGCGTTCGATTCAATCGAACCAAACTAGACAGGTGTAAATGCACCCTAATATAAAATCATAAATAACCAGTGAATCAGTAAATCATTTTACAAATTAGTTCAATTGATTCGAAGATTTTGAAAGATTTGTTTCTTCAATCACTGGTCAACAACAGACTTGTTTATGAACTTTTTTTTTCCCCACAATGCATTCCATGTAATTATTTTTTTTATTATTATATTATTATATGATATTACCATTTTAAAATGTGGAGTTAAGATTTTTATATGCTTTTGAAAGATGTCTCTTATTCTCACCAAGGTTGCATTTATTTGATCAAAATACAGTAAAGGCAGTAATATTGTGAAATATTATTACAATTTAAAATAACAGTTTTCTTTGTGAATATATTTTAAAATGTAATTTATTCCTGTGATGCAAAGCTGAATTTTCAGCATCATTACAGGCTTGAGTGTCACATGATCCTTTAGAAATCATTCTAATATGCTGATTTTCAGCTCAAGAAACATTTCTTATTATCATCAATGTTGAAAACAGTTAATAAAACAGTTCAAATAAATATTATATTGAAACAGTTATATTAAGTATTACCATTTTAAAATGTGGAGTTAAGATTTTTATATGCTTTTGAAAGATGTCTCTTATTCTCACCAAGGTTGCATTTATTTGATCAAAATACAGTAAAGGCAGTAATATTGTGAAATATTATTACAATTATTACATTGAAACAGTTATATTAATTAATTATATTTAACTCAGTAACTGTACTTTGTGCTTTTGTCATTCAGGTCTAGCCGGGTCATGTCTCCCCCGATTTAACACCATGCCCTTCCTATACTGCAATCCTGGAGACGTGTGCTACTATGCCAGCCGCAATGACAAATCCTATTGGCTGTCCACCACTGCACCAATTCCCATGATGCCCGTGGAGGAGGCCGAAATAAAACCATACATCAGCCGCTGCTCCGTGTGTGAAGCTCCATCTGTGGCCATCGCTGTACACAGTCAAGATATAACAATCCCAATGTGCCCAGCAGGCTGGAGAAGTCTCTGGATTGGCTACTCCTTCCTTATGGTGAGACTTCATCTCTAAAATGTTACACCTCCATCTTTTTTACCGTCCTCTAACTCATTCTGTCACTCTTTCACAGCACACGGCAGCTGGAGATGAAGGCGGCGGACAGTCTCTGGTGTCTCCAGGCTCCTGTCTAGAAGATTTCCGCACCACTCCCTTCATCGAGTGTAACGGGGCCAAGGGTACGTGCCACTACTTCGCCAACAAGCAGAGTTTCTGGTTGACATCTATCGATCAGACCTTCCAGAGTTCCCCTTCCTCTGAGACACTGAAAGCCGGTCAGCTCTTGGCACGCATCAGCCGCTGCCAAGTGTGTATGAAGAACCTGTGAGCTGTTACCCATCAACATATTTGACACTATTGCAGCAAAGCAGCATTATAATTAACTCGAGCAGAACGGGCCATGCTAATACTTCATTCCAAATGTCAACCGGATGGCAACATCACAAGTTAGGCTTTTAAAATTACTTCATGTATTTAATGTATCACATATGATGCCCTCAGAGAATTGGTGGCTGACTAAATACTTTTTTCCCCCACTGTATGTGCATAATGAGAAGCAAAAAGCCAGAGATGCATGAAAGCATAGCTATTTACTTTTATATATATATATATGAAATGGTGCTTAATTTCTAACTTATTACCTCAGCATTATCAGACCTGAATTAATATTACCAAAAACATACAGCTGAACCAAAGAAGCCCATGCTTATGCACTTCTCCACCCTTCTGTGTTATGAGTAGCACGTTGTGAATGGAGGGGTTGGGAATCAAGAACCGGTTCTTATTCAAAACAAGCTCATTTTTTTCTTTTCTTTTTTAAAGGCAGTATCTATTTACACTAAATGCAGATAGCAGACTTTGTATTTAGTCTCAGTACAATTAGCACACCTCTTCTTCCCAGCCAACAGGGAATGTTTTTGGCAAGGTTCTCTCAAAGTTATGAAAACCGTTCTTCTAGTAACATTGGTGGACTGTTTGTTCAAAGTTATCCAGACTTTAATAATGTTGTCATAATGTTTGCACAAAACGTCATTTATACATCATTCATTCAACTTTTTTTAAACGTTAATATTTGTTTCAGAATGTTCAGAGAAAATTTTAAAGTAACATTCCCATAATGTTTGCAAAATGATTTAACAGAAACGGACTGTTTTAAGTGTTCAGAGATTGTTCATAAATACTTTAACGGGAATGTTAGCATAATGTTCTCAGAACACTTTTTTTTTTGTTAGTTGGGTTTCTGCACTTCGTGATTCAGTTCTGTTAACGATTCTGGATTGACTGCATTCACTATAATAAAATATGCCAAGCCGATCAGTGTTAATCTAGTTTTCTGACGTCTGTGCATATGAATTCTATTAGTAATTATTTCATGTGATTACAAACACACACATGCACAATGCTTTGCAGACGTGGAGCATGACACATCTCATAAAAATGTCATTTGAAGCAGTACTGTTGGTTTAATAAATATAACAAAGATTTTCAAAGACAGCAACATATAATCTTGTTCTGAAAGGACCTCATCATTCGACAACAAGATTTCTGAGGATAGTGATTGCAATAAGAATTGTTTTCCAATCATTGTCCATTCTCTCTTCTTTAAAAATGACTAAAAGAATCGTTAACAGAACAGAACCACCGAGTCAAAAAACGGAATCATTTAATTCCACACGATTCTCATCCCTATAGAACAGCTACTTTAAATACAGTGCCTTCTGATCATATTTGAACTCTTATATAAATATAATTTCACCAGACTTACACTAACACCATCTTCTGCTGCCTGCACATAAGTTTTGCTTTGTGTTTGTTTTTTGATGTGCTATATATGAACAGCTTAGAATTAAGTATTACCCCGTATTGTGTAATGTTGTCACCTGACACTATTTATCAGATGGAGACAAAGAGTAGGGTGTTCATTGGGTATTTTGTTTCATAAAGGTCATAAACTCTGAGACTTGAAGCTTTTAACTAGAGTTCTGTCCAGTCAGGAGGCTCTGGATTCTGGTTTGTTTGAGATGAACCCTCTCTTGGTTACACCAATTGCACTGATTTTCTCTGAGGTTTACAGGACACATGTTCAGGTCATTAGAAGACTCGAGTTCAATCTTTGTCCCACTTTCACATGCTCAAGCAGGCTGTATCTTCTGTAAACAAAGTCTAGAAACAATGGCTAAACCAAACGTGGGTCACCTAAACGTGGTCAAGCTATTTTGGACTTTGAGCAGCTTTGCCCATTTTCAGTGCACATTACACAAGTATTATTGTCCTGAAGCCCATAAACCACGAACCTGTCTTTGACACAATTAAAGAGAACCAAAAAAAGATTATAATTCAAAACACTTTTTGCATTGAAAACAAGTCACTGCTTTTTTATCAAATGTACTTTAAATGTAATTATGTGGAATATTTGAAGACATTGATTTTGAATTGTATTGCTGAATAAACGAACAATAAATGCTTTTTGTTTGTCGCATTTGTGTCATCTCTCATTTTAATGATATCTGAACAATATCTACCTTGTAGAAAGTGAAGTATGAACTCATACACACTGCTATTCAAAAGTTGGGGTGCAGTTTTTCTTTCTTTCTTTCAGAAATTAATACTTTTACTCATCAAGGAAGCAATAATTTAAAAAAAAAATCAGTTTTCACAAAAACAACAATAATAAGCATATTAGCATATTTAAGTATATGCATAAAAATCAGCATATATGAATGATATGTGACCCTGGACCACAAAAGCAGTCATAAGGGTCAGCTGAAAGCTGAGTAAATAAGCTTTCCATTGATGTATGGTTTCTTAGGATAGGACAATATTTGGCCGAGATACAACTATTTGAAAATCTAATATTGAGAAAATCGCCTTTAAAGTTGTCCAAATGAAGTTCTTAGCAATGCATATTACTAATCAAAAATTAAGTTTTGCTATATTTACAGTAGGAAATGTACAAAATATCTTCATGGAACATGATCTTTACTTAATATCCTAATGATTTTTGGCATAAAAGAAAAATCTATAATTTTGACCCATACAATGTATTTTTGGCTATTGCTACAAATATACCCCAGCGACTTAAGACTGGTTTTGTGCTCCAGGGTCACACATCTGAAGGATCATGTGACACTGAAGACTGGAATAATGATGCTGAAAACTCAGCTTTGATCACACAGGAATAAATTACCTTTAAAGAGTTAGTTCACCCAAAAATGAAAATTCTGTCATTAATTACTCACCCTCGTTTCGTTCTAAAAACCTTTGTTAATCTTCAGAACACAAATGAAGATATTTTTGCAAGGATATTACCACAATCAACGCACAGAAACGTAACAAGGACATCAGAGTACCACAGACCGTAATCAGCGTTGTTTACGTTCAGCATGCGCGCGCTGTCAACTGCACGTAAACAACGCTGTTTACGTTCATTGCGTTCTGGGGTACTCTCCAAAATGACGGTAACTCTGGGAGAAGAATTGCTGAATAAATTGTTATTATTGTTTTCTTTGCGCACAAAAAGTATTCTCGTAGCTTCATAAAATTACGATTGAACCCCTGATGTCACATGGACTATTTTACCGATGTCCTTGCTACGTTTCTGTGTGTTGATCGTGGCAATATCCTTGCTGTCTATGGGAGGGTCAGAGAGCTCTCAGATTCCATCAAAAATATCTTAATTTGTGTTCTGAAGATGAACGAAGGTCTTACGGGTTTGGAACGACATGAGGGTGAGTAATTACTGACAGAATTTTCATTTCTGGGTGAACTATCCCTTTAAATATTTTAAAACTGAAAACAGTTATTTTAAATTGCAATACTATTTTCATAAGAGACTATATACAATATGTTTAAAATGTAAAAAATGTTACGAATCCCAAAACTTAAACAGTAGTGTACTTAATAAAGCTACTGCACACCAACCACACAGACTAACCCATTTATTCCAAACTTTAGGAATTTTTATTTTTCTCAAATTAGAATAAGTGAGGCAGTATCAGAAAATATTCATGTGATTTCCACAAAATATAATGTACACCAGATATAATAATAAAAAAAGAGTCCATTTCATTTCATTAATGCAAAGAAGAAAAAAATCACAGAAAATAAAAACTAAAAATCAGCTATTCTGTATGATTACCAAGTGCTTCTATCTTTTAATTCCCCCCAAAAGTTTTTTAATACTGCTCTGGGAAAAACATAAGTACATAGCAGTAGTTCACATGAATTCTAGTTTTAGGTATGATTTTCACCCATTCCGCCTTTGGCATGGATTGACAACAATTCTCACGTCTCCTATATTTGTCCAGCTCTAGGCACAACATCCTGCTTTAGTCCTTTTTGGCTCCATTGGCGTCTCCAGGTCCACAGTGGCACTCTCTCCCTCGCTCCTTTTCTTCAGGATAGAGGGCAGAACCAGCTCAAAGAGGGTTTCAAACAAAGCGTCCACACTGTAACCCGTTTTAGCGCTTGTCTCAAAGCACATCCTCTCGGCGGGCAGACAGGCCTTCTCCTCCAGGCCTTTGTAGCGAAGCACGCGGCCGTACAGGGCCATGGCGTCCTCTCTGCTGACCTGTTTGTGCTGAAGCGGAGTGGCCGGAGGAGTTGGACACGTGACCACAGGCTGGGGTTCGTCTCTTCGCTCGCTCTCTGTGAGTGGCTCTTGAGCGAGAGCGTCGGTAAGGTCCGCTTTGTTACCCACAATGGCAAATATGCAGTCAGTGTTGGCAGTGTCGGTCAGGGACAGGAAGCGGTTTTCCAGCTCAGCCAGGCTCTGCCAGTTGGTAACGTCATAGGTGAGGATGACTGCAGCCGCGCCACGACAGTACATAGAGCCCAGGCCATGAAACTGCTCTCGACCTGAACACAACAGAAAACACAAGCAGGAGTGTAAAGCACAGTCATGCAGTACTGCATTTCAGTGTAGATTTGGAGAATTTGAACTTTATTTGAGCTCTATTTAAACTGAATGCTTCTACGTTACTTTTCCAAGACAAAATCATACAAAAACATCTTTTTTTTTTAATACAGTTTTACAGCCCTCGTGCATGTTATTATGTTTGTCAAAAACTTAGGCTGGCTGTCAGTTGGAATATTAGAACTATAGACATCTACATACACTCACGGGCATCAATCACTTCACTGAATACTTGCCAGCTAAGAAATAAATAATTATCTTACAATCCATCTGTTTTCAAATCCACATAAATTTAACATGAATACAACATCAATGTCTGTCAAAAAACAAAAACATCCGTAATAACATGCTAGTATTTATGAGAAGCCAGCTGAGGTCCAGGGAGTGCACGCATATCTCTGAAAATCCCCACTACCGGATGTTTTGACTACGTCATTGCTTTCCGAGAAGGAGAAGAAAATGGTGACCTGAGCGGCTTCAACATGTTGTCTGTCAAAGATAATAACAGACCTAATACATACTGCACGCGAGCATAAATTCGTTCTTCACTTGATGAAACTGACAGGTGATTTGAACTTCTCTCTTGTTTAAAAGATTAAGGCAGTTCTCAAAGTTTGATCAAATGTTTCATTTTCCAATAAATACATTTCTATATGATTCGTTCCCATATACAGTGGTGGCCATTTTTTATTAGAACACCTGACAGAACTGAAAATATTGACCTTTTATTGCCTCCAAAACATGATTTCATTTCAAAATGTTCATTAAACACACAGATGGTTGCTCTGAGCACAACAAATATAAGATGAAGCGAGTCGTACTGTTTTTATCCACTTTTAACTTTAATATTTGGTATGTCCACCTATTGCAGCAATTACAGCACATCTCTCTGGCATAGTGTCAATATATTTCCTGAGAACTTCAACACTAATGTTATTCCATGCCTTCTGCAGCTCAAGCCAAAGGCTTTCCTTTGAATGTACAATAGATCTGTCCAGTGATCAAGTAACAGTGAGGTGGCCAGTCCATCATTTTCAGCGTTCCAGCAGATTCCTTCCGTCACAGGTGCTTCTGGCAATACTTCGTTTTATGGGTATTGTAATGGCCAATTCAACAAAAACAACTGAAACCTCTTAAACATGCCAAGTGTTCTAACAATTTTGGCCACCACTGTATACACGCACACTAACAGTTTTCAGGATATTAGTTTCAGTTTGACTAAACTTGGTAAACATTAGCAAAACCTGCTGACTGTACAATATTTTGTGCATTAAGTGCACATTTGTGCATTGTGACTAGACCTCAAGGGCAGCTCAGTCGTGGTATTGAAGGTGGGAGAGAGCGCTGTACATTCACTCCCCCCACCTACAATCCCTGCCGGCACGAGATTCGATAACCTTTGGGTTACGAGTCCGACTCTCTAACCGTTATGCCACGACTTCCCCTTCCCCTAAGGTTACTTCAATGAGAAAAGTTCAATTTTACCGTACTTGCTACAGCCCTGCTGACGGTGATTCACTCAATAGAATTAAACACAAGTAACCTGAATAGTTCTGAGAGGCCAAATTGACTGAATAAACGAAAGAAAGAAAGAGTTAAATACTGAAAACAAACCTTCTTTCACTTTCTCCTTTAAAAAGAAAGCCAAAGGTTGTTGGTCATGATACTGAGAGCTGTAACAGCAGAAATACAAGAGTTCATTGTTGTAGAAATATGTAGTGGTCTTCAACTAACTTGGCTTCTGCTGTCTGTGTTTGAAGGGTGAGAGAGAAACACAGCTCTCTTCATTGAGAGTCTGAGATTTATTTGACAGTGATTTCACATTTCTTGTTTGTATGAAGGCTAAATACCAATAAAAGGTGAACATTTATTTATTTGCGTCATTTTTTTCCTAAAATATTATATAGTTTTGTAGGAGTAGGTTTCATAGACTTGGCAAATTAATTTTTCATAAGTTTGTAGGTACAGACATCTGTTGTGGCCGTTCTTGGCCGTTTTTGTGAGGCTTTTTTAATAGTGTTCATATCGATATCGGAATTATATCGTATCGACCGAAATTAAGAAATATATGGTGATATAAATTTTGGCCATACCGTCCAGCCCTATTTGTGCCTCATAAAAATGAGTACTTAAAGGCTCATTTTAATTTTACAATACTTGCATACAATTAAAGGGATCAAATTAAGGAATTCGGTTTACATTACCCACTAATAGGCCTGTCACGATAACAACTTTTTGTTGTGCGATCTATTGCCCCAGAAATAATTGCGATAAGCGATATTGTCATTTTAAGACCATTTTATGCCACTGAATATATAATCAGAATGTAACCGCATAAGAATGCAAGAAGGCCTACACATTTCCAAATGACAAACTTTTCATTTTTAAGAATATTTAGATCATGGAAATGAAGTATCAAAATATTAGATACCTTAAAAAACTTGAAAAAAATAGTAAATATTTTCTAACAAAAAGTGCAAGGTAACAAGAACAAAAAAACACAAATGCACAAATAACTTCTTTGAAAGATTTTTCCCTGACCTTCTTTTCTCTGTAAATGAAGGGTGCACACTATTGCTGAAAAACACAGTCACTACTTAGCAGTCAGATGTCTGTGTGCACAAAGGCACAGATCACTAAGCAAGGCCATATCTGCAGATGAAACTTTTTTTTTTTTTGTAGAAGCATTTTAAAAATTTGCACCAACTACACCACCTTACGTACGAGAAGCTGCAAAAGGTACAGGCGCAAGTGGAATGTAAAAAACCATGGTGACATTCATTTTTAAGTAAATATAATTGGCGATATATTGCGTCACCAAAAATTATTGAAGTCATGTACATATATTGCGCGATAAGTCGATATATTGATTATTGCGACAGGCCTACCCACTGACATTAAAATCTTCATTGCACATAAACAAATTAACAATGTAACTTTAGCAACTCAAAACTCCTTCAACAGTGAAACTAAAAAGTGGTTTGTTTGAGACTTTGTGACGTCAGAAAGATAAATACATTTCGCAGATGCTTTTATCCAAAGGTATTATAACATATTCAAGGCATACATTTTATCTTTCATGAATTCCCTGTGATTCAAACCCACAAACTTGTGTTGCTAGCAGCATGCTGTACTGTCTGAGCTACAGGAACACCAACAACAGCCACTCAGACATGGTGAGCTACTACACTACACTACACATCACCAGATGAACTAATGATAGCACCTGCTGCTCTGCAGATCTTTCTGAAGAATTCAAACATTACAAATGACTGACTAAAAATCTCTGATCATTTCAGCCTCATCTCAGTCTGAGTGCATCTCTTTTGCATGAAGTTATTTTACATGCAGAGAATTTACACGTTGTCTAAAGCCTGACAAGAAAGCCAGAAAAATCAAGTTTTATTGAGTTACTTATTTACTAATCCTTTAGACAAAATATGAATATATATATATATATATATATATATATAAATTCTTGTTTGTTTATTTTTTGTTTTCTTTGTGCACAAAAAGTATTAAAACTAAAATTACAGTTGAACCACTGACGTCACATGGATTATTTTAACGATATCCTTACTACGTTTCTGGGTCTGGGAACATTTCAGTTGCTGTCTATGCAGGGTAAGAAAGCTCTCGGATTTCATCAAAAATATCTTAATTTGTGGTCTTGGAACGACATGAGGCTGAGTAATTAATGACAGAATTTTCATTTTGGGTGAACTCTCTCTTTAAAAAAGAGCAGCCATATACTTAAAAAAATTATATAATATAATAAGAATTAGGGCTGCACGATAAATCGAAATGGAATCGAGATCGCGATTCGACAGCACGGTTCTGTGATCAGCAGTAAATCTCCATCCAAAGGCCAGAGGGCGCTCTCGCGCTGAAACTCCAAATACGCCTCGCAGAAGAAACCCAGAAAATGCCTAGCGCTGCAGCTGAATAAACAGAAGATTCAACTGCTTTCACTGATTCAATGTGACTAATAAACACACGACTACGGCAATATACGGTTTATCGGAGTTCTTATTATTATAATTTTCATTAAAATACTAAATACTATGAAATATGTTGCGTGCCTTATTCTGTGTAAGAAGCCACATCATCTCACAGAAGGATTTATTTCAAACACTCGACTGACGTTATGAAGTGAGTTTGGAGTAACAATATGTTATTAAATGTGGTATTTTCACATGCTTTCAGATGGAGCAGCATTTACTTCACAGAGCCGTAGTTCACTGACAAGCCATGCAAACAGCTGTCGTAATCGCAAACGATTTCTTCGATTTCAGAATTTGCGTAACTTGTCAGTGAACTACGGCTCTGTGTAGTAAATGCTGCTCCATCTGAAAGCACGTGATGATGATTTCCTGCTGATTACAGAACCGGCTTTACTAACAAAATGCGCATGACAATCGCATTCGATTAATCGTGCAGCCCTAATAAGAATATAGTTTGAATATCAATCATATTTAGCTGTGCCGCACATGCAGCGCGGAGGCTCTAGAAGGGTTTCAGTAACATACTGACTGACTAAGTGACTGAATTTTGTTGATGAAAATTATTTTGTTTTGTTTAAAAAAAAACATGTTGATATTGTTTGTATTAAAATTAAACTTTCTTTCTCCTTTCACATGTTCAAAGTTAAATAGAAATACTTAATACTGTAATACTTCTCACCTTCTCTTTAAAGGAATAACTACCATTTCGGTCCTTTAGTGTGACGTAATGTGTGACACACATAAAAGAACCACAGATTAGTTTTTTTTAATCTCTAAATATCTTTAAAAAACAGTTGAGTATTGCAGTAGGGGAGATATAATCATCATTCATCTTAAAATGGTATAATTTTCTGCAGTTTTGAATGGATGACAGCAAAGTTTGTCTTGTGGCCAAAGTTTGTCTTGAAAATGAAAAAAATTATGTTATTCATAATTTCATATGAAATAAATAACACTATATGTAAATTAGTGTCTTACAATTAAGATTACTCTCTCTCATGCTATTTGTATATTATTAAATGTTTTGCTATGTCACACCATAGGACAAATTTACTGTACAGTTCAGTAAAAATAAAAAAAAATAAAAAAAAACAGTGACAGATTTGACGAAGATGAAGTGACCCTTTATATTTTCTCAAACATCAGAATTCACACTACATAAATATATGTATTTCTTCTTCAAAAATGGTGTTTTACAAAAAAAGCTTTTTTTACTGCCTATTTGTCAACTACCCACAAACATTATATTTACACACAATATTATTTTCCTAAAAAAATATGTACTGTATAATCAAGTAAACCTACATTTCTTCAGTCCAGAAAATGTTCATCTTGAAAGATTAATAACAATATAAACATTAACAATATTCTAACATTATAAAATTAATTAGAGATTTCACAGCAAAAAGGCGTGTGTATTATGACCTGAAGGGGGAATTTTAAGATTATACTAGTCCGAGGGCAGAAGGCATGTAGAAGTTTTGATCATGTTGATAATTTATAAGGGCCTTAGAAATGTAATACAGTGTGCTTTATAGGGTTAAAGACATAGTGGAACATGAAAATGAAAATGAACTAACAAAAAATGTATGGAACTTTGACATGTCACTTTGCTCATATGATGACACTGCATGCTCAGTACTTCTTTCTTGGTAATTCAGGTTTTTCCACTAAACCCAAAGAGGATCACATTCGAAATTGAGAACAAAAAGTTTCATAACATCTTAATTTACCTGTGAATATCCCTCCTAGACCCCCACCCCTGAGAAACAACTGTGTGAGTGACCAGTAAAACCTTCAGTTTCCACACACCCACGCACAGATTCAACACATACTCATCTGACTTGCACACAAGCATGTGACTTTTTGCCTGTAGAGACAGCAAACAGCTCTACACGGGGTCATCTGTCATCTGAACGGAATAACATTTCACAGGAAATGACTGAGAAAGGACATCCTTTTTACATTATTAAATGCATGATTACCTCCAGTCTGACGGGCTCCGTACAAAGTTTGTCGAAATAAACCCCATTCGTGTGTGTGTGTGTGTGTGTGTGTGTTAGAAAACTCAATAGCAATTGTTCCCTGATACAGTTGGACACGACGCCGATGTTATAACTCCAGAAGTTTCCAGTCAGGTTTAACAGCAGCGCTGCTGTCCGATTCGTCAATGAATCGTTCTTTCGAGTCAAATCTTTTCTAAAGATTCGGTCAAGGACTTAATCCCTCCGAGCGATTTCTGAGCCAAAAGCCAACAGAACGTCGTTTTTTTTTTAAATGAATTGTATTATTGTTGAATGTAAATATTATAGTTATGACTTTTTATTTATTTATTTATCAGTTGAATAATGACTGCAACTGGGACACGCAAGAATACAATAAATATGCGTATTAATAAAACGTATATTTTAAAAGGTTTATTTGAACATTTAAAAGCAAGCTGAGATGTCCGAGATCATATAATGAGGTGATGGCTGTAAGAAATCACTGAATCACTTTAGTAACCTGTTCTTTGAAGTGAACTGTTCAAAAGAACCGATTCGCAGAAATGAATCAGAGTTCTTAGCCAACGGTGGTGGGCGGGGCAACTTTAACTTGAGTGCCAACGTCACAGGAAGTAAACAGGAAAGGCGGGGCTAAATAAATATCGCTAATATTGCCTTTTCTAATAGCGTTGTAACCAGTCTTCGCTTCAGTGAGTAGCATTGGCCTGGGTCTATTTCATGTCAAATATGGACTGGATGCCGCTTATGTCACCACGCATAGCAGAGCGTCAGCGGAAGTCTGATGATTATAGAGGACAAGTCTGATCGCGGGAAGTCGTGTAACACAGAGCTATACTCAGAATTAAATCTTGAACTTTGTTCCTATGATCTGACTGGATACTGACCACAAGATGTGCAAGTTCTACGACGAGATGGAGAGGATATTGAGCAATCGGTCCTTAGTAGAGAGCCAGGATATTGATAGTGTCGCTGTTGGGGGAGATGAAACGATGGATGAAGATGCTGAGAGTACTGAACTCTTGCAGGAGGCTCACATGGATGGCAGTGGTGAATGCTCCTTTATGGAGCATCCGGTCAAAACTGAGTACCCATCCTGCCCCATTCCGGTGACAGTGGGAGGCATGAGTATGTCAACTTATTCCGATCCGTCAGAAAGCAATGATCTGCCATCTTTAGCCTAATCGGTCTGGTTTCTTGTATGTATGTATGTGTGTGTGTGTGTGCGTGTTAATATTTGTGCGTTCTTCTCTTAAAGGTTCGTATCCAACCAAACAGAGCAGCCTGACGAAGACCAACTCGCCGGCAGCCACGTCCAGCAGGCCACGGAGAAGCAAGAAGCGCTTCGCGAACATGTCGCTGGAGAAGCTGATGGAGAAGTTCTTGGAGCAGAGCATGGAAGCAGAAGACAACTTCTACAGGCTCGAGGAGCAGCGTCTTCAGGCCGAGGATAAACGCAGGGAGGAGGAACATTCCAGAGAGTTGCAGATGCTACAGATGTTGGGCCAGATTTTCGCTGGCATTCGCGCACCCTCTCCTGCACCGCAGGCCACTCCGCAGCCCTCTTGTATCCCTCAGACTAAGCCCGCCGTACCCCCCACGCGCCCCCCTTTTGGGAATGGTAACCATCCGCCTGCCTTGACCGAGTTTGCCAGCCACAGCCAACCAGCTGGCCCAGGTCTGCTCATGGAAGAGGGTGACGCTCAATGTTCGTGTAGAGTTGCCATTTATTTTGAATTGCCATTTGTTACACAGTCATAAAGCGGCGATAAACACAATGTTTTACTGCTAAAGTCCCATGAAAAAGAATAGATCTCCCAAATATGGAAATTCTGGTGTTATTATTATTATTATCATTATTTTGGTTGAACACAGAGCGATTTGAAAGAATTTTGAAGTAGGTATTTTGGTCCTTGTACATTGGGTTCATTCGTTTTTTGATTTATATGTATGCATTGGGCAGACGTTTTTATCCAAAATGACTCAAATCGCATTTGAAGAACACCTTTACATTTTTACTAGCGCTTGGGAATCTCTGAGAATCAAACCCAGGACCTTGGCATTGCTAGCACCACACTCTACTGTTTCAGCTGCAGGAAAGTTTCTTTATTAAATATTTAAAGCAGAAAAATGTAGATACGCATCTTGATTATTAGATTTCGATATGTGTCCAGGCATGACACGCCCCCTTTCCGCTGATTGGTCAACCAAAGATGAGTGTGCTCCATCAACAGAATATTAATCACACACTGCTGTAGTTGTACAGATTTTTCAAGTGTTTATTGCAACTACATTTTGTCTCTTTCTCTCATCAAACAACTGGACTAAGAAATGCTTTGACCTAGTATTACCTGAATATTCAAGGTATTTATGCATATTCGACCTCTTCACATAATGAAAAATCAAGTCCGTTATTTTTTAATAAATGAAGAAGGCATTGTTTTCTACTTTTTCCTCCTCTTAATATTACATTGAAAAGGGAATGAACTCAATGTACACTGATCTATTTTACATACAATGACGATGCTATATCGTGACCGAAAAGGCTCCAAAACCATAAAATGGGTCCGTACAGACATATTCCAAATCTTATAAAGCAAAGTTATAGCTTTATGTGGAATAAACTAATATTTTAGTCATTATTCACTGATAATCCTCCCTAGTGCTTAAGCTCTGAAATACAGTTTGTGTTTACATTCAGACTTGAGAATGTATGAGAACAGAGTGAGAATTCGGAGCTACAGCAAAGAGACAGATTTTTGGTGAAGAAAAGCCTGAATTTCAAGCTCAAATGGCTTCAAATGGCTCTCCGATATAGAGCTCAAGTTATATGGGCTTATCATTCTTTTGGGCCTTATGGAGCTTCACAGATTTTCTAACTATGAACTGTTGGATGGAAAAGAACTGAAAAGATTTTAAAAAAATATTCTCTCTTCACAAAATTTGAATTGATATAAGTATAAATTATGTGAAAATGATGACAATTTTCATTTTGGTTGAAACCGTTTTTTTTTTTTTTTTTTTTTGTATAAGTACAAACCTTTTAAAATTACTAGTCTAATCCCAATGCATGGAACTGAAGTAAGCTGGTCTGGTTTGGGATGCATTTAATTATTGTTACTATATTCTTGTCTCAGTCATAGAGCGCTCTTTCTCTCTGGGAACGGCAGCAATGGACAATGTCATTCCTCTTTTAAGAAACACAATTCCTCCACTTACGTCCAAAAAACACAAGGGTCAGGACGGACGCATTGGAATCATTGGGGGATGTCAAGAGTAAGTGCTGCACAGATCTTTCTCAGGGCTATACACTTACTAAATTACTATAAGCAGCTGTGGTGAAGCTTCAGTGGGTTCTGCACATGCATGGCCGACTAATCGGATTAAACCTTTTTAAAAAAGATATTTGGGGAAAATGATCAGACTTTCTATTAGGTAGCCTTAACTACTATGTACTAACATTAAATACTAAGACTTTTTTGTTTTAACAAAAAAACACAAAGACTATGATTTACTGTGTAACTATGTGTTGTTCTGAAAATGTTCCACTTTTTTTGTTAATACTTTTAGGGTATAGTTAGGATTATATGGGTTAAAGTTTGGGAAAAGGGTTCGGGTTATAGTTGTGGGTAAAGTTAACAGTGGACTATAAATGTGAAAAGTACCTCAAATATAATTCCAATGCACCGACATGTATGTACATAAGTATATTGTTTCAAATGGTTAAGTATAAGGCTATCTAATGTAAAGTGTGACCAGGGGAATAAATACAAAATTATAGGGCATTTTTCATATATTTCCTCTTTTTCGGAGCTGTTCTGTTTAGACTGTGTACTTTCTAGAGCTTTTTCACTTTCAACCACATACCATCAAGGCATGCTCTGCCACAACAGCATTTTATTAGGTGTTACTGTTTATTCTGTCTGTATGTGAATTTGCTTGGTGAAACTTACATTTTTGCACTGTTCTTGCTAGGTACACAGGAGCACCTTTCTTTGCAGCGATCTCGGCTTTAAAAGTTGTAAGTATTCTGTTAAAAATTCAGTCCATTTTTTTTTTTCTCATCTGCATTTTGTCTTTTCATAGTTTAGCGAGATACACAGAGTGAATTGTCTTAATGATCCATGAGTGGATTTTGACTCATATTTATCAAAGATCATGAACAAAAAATGTATCCTCAAATATATTATGCAGCATTAATATTATGTTTTTAGCATTGGTAATAATAAATGTTTCTTGAGCACCACATCAACATATTAAAATGATTTCTGAAGGATCATGTGACACTGAAGATTGGAGAAATGGCCATCACAGTATTCATTTTGTATTCATTTTAAAGGGTTAGTTCACTCCAAAATTAAAATTTTGTCATTAATTACTCACCCTCATTTCGTTGTAAACACATAAGACCTTTGTTTTAACATTAGTCTCCAAAATGACGGAAGATAGTAACTCGTGAGAGAAGCATTGTTGAATAAAGTTGTTATTTTTGTTTTTTTGCTTACAAAAAGTATTTTCGCAAAATTGAAGTTCAAAACTGACGTCACATGGACTATTTTACCGATGTACGTTTCTGGACCTGGGAACATTACAGTTGCGTTGCTGTCTATGCAGGGTCAGAAAGCTCTCAGACTCAGATTCCATCAAAAATATCTTAATTTGTGTTCTGAAGATGAACAAAGGTCTTGCGGGTTTGGAACGACATGAGGGTGAGTAATTAATTACAGAATTTTCAATTTTGGGTGTGCTAAATTGTATTAATATTTTACAATATAACTTTTTACTGTATTTTTCATCAAATAAATGCAGCCAAAAACCTTACGGAGCCCAACATTTTGAACAGTGTATTTGCATAAAATTGAAAAAATAAATAAAGAAATGTGCATTGACCTTTTGAGCTGGCAAAATGGGAGCTGAAATATGCTCAAATGCTGAAATATTGGCAGATATGTCAGTCTATTACCTTCTAGTCATCCTGCCTGTTTTCCAGGGAGCCGATCTGTCTCATGTGTTCTGCACCAAAGATGCAGCTCCAGTCATCAAGTCCTACAGTCCTGAACTCATTGTCCATCCAGTGCTGTAAGCAGGAACTCTTTTTAGACATAATCCTTGATTGCAAGTGAATTTTATGAAATATCTCTGGTGGCCAACAGAAGAGTTTCTGACAAGTAATTTGTTATGGATCTCCAGGGATATTTGATTCAATCCTTTTTGCCAGCTGAATCGCATTTGGTTTATTGTCATGTCGAGCGAGATTTGAGCATGATGGTGCTGTTTCTCCAGAGACAGTCCCAATGCTGTGGAGGAGATCGAGAAATGGCTGCCCAGGCTTCACAGTCTGGTTGTGGGACCAGGTCTGGGGAGGGAGGATATGCTTCTGAAGAATGCTAAGGCAAGAGAAATGATACCATAAAAAAAGTCTTATGACATTTGTGTGGCAATTTAGTTGTTAATATGAAACACATAGCATTAATATCTTTTCTTTTTAAAAAGGTAAATTCTATCTGATTCCCTTTCATAGTACCAACCACAAACTTTGATAAAGCTCTTGTTTTAAAAGGCTTATGCTTAAATACTTAAATCATTTGTTGCAAAGTTTTGTAGACCGTTATAATAATTTTGTAAGTTGATCACTGCACAACATTTGTCATGTCTCAGTTTGTTATTTTACAGTTTTATTGACTTTTGTTTTTGTAAAATGTGGAAAATAAGTAGGTGTGTCCACGTTCAATGCACACAGACTGAAGTAGTTTAAGTCTTTGGTTCTTTTAATTGTGATGATAGATTATTGAGAGGTCAAAACTCAGAGGAATACCAATCATCATTGATGCTGTGAGCTCAGAAATGGCTTTTTATATATTATGGTATTAGTGATGTGTTGCATATTGTCTGAAATGATGTAAAAGCATGATCTTGAACCAACATCAATGTTTTTCTGAATTAGCAGGCTAGGGATTTGCTGGATAAAATACTCACTTTATGCATGTATGCATTGCACATTCACATTTGTGTTTCTTTACAGGATGGGCTTTGGTTAGTCGCAAAAGAACCCTCAGTCATTCAGGGATATCAGAGAGGAATCCTCACACCCAACTTTATGGAGTTTACCCGTCTGTATGAGGCCATGGTGAGTTTTGAATGTAGTAATATAATGTCTATGTAGCTGAGCAGGTTTCTTTTGTATGTAATATTGAAGGCTCTTTTTACATCTGGTATTGACATTCATCTCATCTTATCAGACTATAACGATACTTTGCCTGGTATTGTATGCAGCTCAAATGTGTCTCATATGCTCACTTGTGATCAGATCACCTGACATAGATGATATTACCATGCATAAACTGAGCCTTTGTTTTTACAACATTGCTTTCACTGCATGCCTGGTTCCAGAATCAGATAACAAGAGGTGCTTCTGAAATTAGTGAGGGTGCTTTAGTAAAGTGTAGATGTAATGAACCTAAGGAACAGCTCCTAAGCACCACCTTAACAAGAATAACAAGATACACTCAAGGGATTATACGTTTTGCAAGTCATTATTTTTACACAACAGCATTTCTAAAATACTCTGGAGGGCATAAATGAGTTGCTGACTCATAATACACAGTTGACACAATATAAAACCACAATATAAATGTTTTTCTATTAATTTCTTAGTGTAATTTTATGTTAATTAATACACATCTATTTTGACTTTATCCTAACCATTGCTATTGTTACCATTATGTCAATCACTGAAACTTCAGAAGTGATCCCACATTTAAATGCTGCTGTCACTCCTGGCATTTTGTAGGCATTGTGTACATCACATGTACATGACTGTTGGTCCTCTTAGCAGCATAAAAACTATTCAGTTTTTACTATTCAACTATTCAGAGATCAGTTGCTCAAGTCTACTTTATCAACACTGCAAATATGCATTGCTCTCCAGATGTGCTGTTATTACAGTTTCAGTTGAGGGTGCTTATCACCTCTAGTAACCCCGTAGAACTGGGCCTGTTTCACTGTTATGCACTTTCTACACCAGGGGTGTTCAGTCCTGTTCCTGGAGGACCAATGTCCTGCAGAGTTTAACTCTAGCCATCTCCAACTGCTGGAAGTTCTTAGTGAGTCTGAAAGCCTTGATTAACTGGTTCAGGTGTGTTTAATTGGGGTTGGAGAGTGTTATCACTATGTCGGAGACACGCTAGCTTTCCCAAGGCAGACGAACTTAGTGGTTACAATCATCCGGGTTTAAATCGAGTTCAAAATGAATTGATTTTGATGCAATATTAACACTGAAGCTCGCAGGCGGCTATGGTAAGGGGCATGACACTTCCCGACCAGGCGCCGAGTGCTGCCAATCACAACACACACTGGCCCAGCTAACCAACCACAGCACACACTGGCCCAGCTAACCAATCACAGCACACACTGGCCCAGCTAACCAATCACAGCACACACTGACCCAGCTAACCAATCACAGCACACACTGACCCAGCTAACCAATCACAACACACACTGGCCCAGCTAACCAATCACAGCACATTTCGTATTTCAGAAGGCAGGCCTTCATTTGATACAGGAACTATTCGAGCCGTTCATGCCAGACTGGGGAGGGAGGTGTTGTAATAATGTAAAATATGTGGAAAAATAATGTTTTTCGAATAACCTAGTATGAGAGCCTGTTCTAGTACACCCCCAAAACAAGACTTTGTAAACGAGCATAATAGGACCCCTTTAAGTTGGAGAATTTTGCAAATTTTCCAAGTTGGAATTTACAGGAATTAAAAAGAATTAATCTTACAAACTGTATAATATACAAACAGAAATATAAAAAAATCCCTTTAAAAAGTTGGTGCACGTGGTATTGTTCTGTAGAATAAGATTAGAAGAAAAGCTTGTAAAAAAACACCAATGAAATGCCATGCACAGATATATAAATAGTTAGCTGGAATGGTAAAAATGTTTACAATTGATGCTGGGCAATTAATAATATTAACATTAATAAAAGTAGGCTAGATATACAGAGGAACACTCAACATTTCAGCATGCCAAATCAAACTATAACCTACAACTGCATCCCAAATGATGCACTATACACTATGCACTTATACACTTTGTGCACTTTTATGTAATCAACCATGTAGTGTATGAATTATTTAAGGTCATTATGTAATTAATAATCAGAGTGTGATAGCCCCTCCCCCTTCGCTACTTGGTTAAAGCTGCGACAGTTGAGTGCATAAAGTGTCCAACATTCCACACTTCGTTTTTTGGTTAAGTGCATCATCCGGGTATTTAAAGTGCACTTTTTCTTTTTGGAATTTCCAGTGTGAACACACTATTTATACTACAGAACACCATAGAATAGTGCATAAGTGCGCGATTTGGGACACACCTTATGTTCTTGTATGATAACAGAAAACTGGCTAGCAGAAGAAACAGCGTTACAGTTGAACTAGGTTTAGCACATCTCATTTTCTGGCTAGTTAGCTGCTGTTTGATTTAGAATTTGTTAGTTAAACTTTAATAGATCAAATATATTTACTTTAGTACTATCATCAAAACTTACTTGAGTTTTGACTTCAGTAGTCCTGCTGTAGTGTGCAGATTCTAGAAATTATTTGTTTATGTGAGGAATGTGCAGGGTAGAAGTTCAACTGAATTTGCATTAAATCTGGTCATTTTAACCAAGGCTATGCTGCTTTTTTTTACTACAGTACATGTTAGATTAGTTCCCTAATCTGTAATTTTGCAGTTTCCAGTTTATTTCCATGCATTCCTATATATTCCTGTTCATTTCCATATATACCCGATGATTCCCTTGTAAAGTTTTCAACTTTAAACATTTCCGGAATTTTGCAACCTTAAAATTATTTCAATGTACTTGTATTAAGAAATTTTAATTAAAATTCCAAAAAACAAAAAGATGATGTTCAACATTTTGAATATTGTCTTGGATAAAGGGTGGCCTTGGAGTCAAAAAAAAGTTGAGAACCACTGTCCTAGAAAATTCCTTGTTTTGCCGTTTTAAAAAATCAAAACAATTACAAAAACCTTAACAGACACCTAATACATACAATTGAAGTATACATGCTAAATCAAACTTTGATTTCAGCATCATGAACCTCTGGACCGCACCGACCACAAGAGAAGTGCTCAGCAACTCGCCATCGCCATGGGCCACCTTACCTTGGTTTTGAAGGGGGAGGAGGACATTATTACTGACGGAAAGAACAGTTAGTGATGTTCTCCAAACATTCAGACTTCATAAGGTTCCGGTGCACAGTTTTCTGTCTCTAACATATTGCTTGTCTATCTGCTCTCAGTGCTGACCTGTACTCAAGAGGGCAGTGGGCGGCGGTGTGGAGGACAGGGAGATCTGCTCTCGGGTTCCTTAGGAGTCTTTGCCCATTGGGCGTTCAGCTCACCTCCAGATGCAACTAAAGGGTAAGTGGCTCCATTATCAGTAGTTATTTAATGTGTCATTGCACATCACTTTCAGATTAATAGTAAATGTTCCTTTTTTCCAGCATGAATCCTTCACTGGTAGCTGCATTCGGTGCTACTTCTCTGACAAGGCAATGTAATCGCCAGGCCTTCCACAAACACAGCAGGTCTACCACCACCTCTGACATGATCCAGGAGATAAGCTGTGCTTTCAAGAAGTTGTTTGAAAGCTAAACTACATGTGTATCCATTATGTTTCATGGTCATTATTAAGACTAAGGCCCAATCCCAATTCTATTTTATACCCCTTCCCCTTCCCCTTCCCCTTCCCCTTCCCCTACCCCTCCGCCTACCCCTTCCCCTTGTCTCTTGAAACAGAGTGTCAAGGGGTAGGGGTGAAAATGTTCCCCTAAGAATTGGGACACCACTACTATGCCGTCACACGTCGTCTAGCACCTACAATACACACACCTATACTGGTGTGCTGGTGTGCATTAGAGCCTTTAATTACCGTTCTGTATTAATGCGCTGCTTACTTACACGCACACACACACACACACACACACACACATAAGATATCGCGCAGCTCACACATCCAGGCGCAAAGAACCTTGTCAACGCTGCCCCACGACTTTTATTAATAACAGTTTAAATACTGAATCGCTACATTATATTTTCCAGCAACAAGAGGATAAAATCACTGTTTTTTAAGTAAACTCACTCTAAAAAGAGAAACGCACAGACGTGCACACACACAACTTTCATATCTCTCTCTCTCGAATTGATAATATTTGAGAAAAGGGTTTAGCGATTTCTAATTATTGGGGGGACTAGCCCCCCTCAATGTCTATGGTGGTTATCGCCCTGATCAGACATGAACATATGTTGTGGCACTATCGTGCAGTCTATAATGATATGATGTTATTTAGCAAATATTAGCGATTTTTTGCAAACATTTGTTTGAGTAACATGACCGTAAATATGAACTCACGATTGAATGTAACATAAAACGAATGATTACTTTTCGTTAAAATCTTTATTAATGCCAAAAATGCTTACATTTATGTGTCTTTTTGTTCGCTCGGGCAGCCATGTTGCCGCTGAAGCCGGTTTACGCTGAGGTAATTCATACCCCTTCGTTTGAAGTGTGGTCCCTAAAAATCTTCGTTTGAAGGGCTGTCTGGCCCTACCCCTACCCCTCCAACCAAAAGAGAATGGAGACACCCCTACCCCTTCACGTGAACATGCAAAATGGAGAGATAGGGGAAAGGGGAAGGGCTAAGGGGTAGACAGTGTTGGGGGTAACGCATTACAAGTAACGCGAGTTACGTAATCCGATTACTTTTTTCAAGTAACTAGTAAAGTAATGCATTACTTTTTCATTTACAAGAGAGTTACTTTTTCAAATAAGTAACGCAAGTTACTTTTTTTTTTCCAATGTATTGATTGACAGCTCTCCTGTCCCCATGTCGAGAGAAATCAGAAGATGTTACTGTAGTTCTAAAATAAATATGAATATGCATTAATTCATCTCACTCACGAAAAAAAAATACAGATTCAGTATTCCTCAAAATGAATAAAAATAATGCAACTCAGAATATGACGCAAACCTGCAATAATTAAATGTTAAACAACACAAATATCCTTTATGTATTTAATCCCATTCTATTAACCAATGTCTTTGCTTCTGACCTTCGATGATCCAGTTCAACCGTACTAATAAGCAGAAATGACTCTATACAAACATTTGTGTCTTTTTTTATTGCTGAAGTGTGTTGAAATTTCTTCTTCTGCATTCTACTGTACGGACGTAAATGTACTTTCCCTTCAGCCTGAGGCTTATTCATTTCACTTTTGGTGTGAAAAGGCTTTTATATTTGCCAAAAATATAACTTTTTTTATTTTAAAAACAAACAAGCAAGCCCTGTAAAGATTTAAAAAGAAACGCAAAAGTAACTTAACGCGTTACTTTTCATAAAAAGTAACTAAGTAACGTAATTAGTTACTTTTTTATGGAGTAACGCAATATTGTAATGCATTACTTTTAAAAGTAACTTTCCCCAACACTGGGGGTAGAATTGGGATTGGGCCTAAAGGTCTGTGTCGCAATGCTACTCATATTAAATAAAAGTGAAGTACATTGTTGGGCACCTTTTTTCCTTTTTATTTTAAAGTGCCTCTTTGTAGTTCTGCAATACAGTTTCAACTACTTCTCCACTTTCATGTGTGTGGTGGTGGCCCTCTAGAAACGTCATACTTTTTTTAAAACCTATGTCTTTAGATGTGTGTGTTATGTTTGCGAGTGTTTAGATTTGTATCTGATAACCCACCAAGAGATAACACTGTCCCTTTATGAATGAATTGCTGTCTTACTACTTGCTGCAATTTATTTATTGGTCTGCTTGAAAATGTTCACTTTCAAGTATTGGAACAAATGCTCTACCTTTATAGTGGATGTTCTCCTTGCATTAAGCTGTTTAACACCTTAGTTTCTGTCAATAACTCACAATCCCTATTTAGTATGTGGGACAAAATACAAATAATTGAAAGTGGCTGTCACTTTTAGATATAGTTTGCTATCATACGTATTAAACTAACATGAAATTTTTACTTATAACTGTTTTTGTTTTGTATTATTCACTCTGTGTAAATACATGAATGTGTCTGGACTTGGTTTGGGTTGGTGAGATGGTTAGTGGTTTGGCAAGAGGTTTATTTTTTTTAATCAAATGGGGAAGAAACTTGCAAAAGGTGTTCCATTTTTAAAGAGTTTCTGTTAGTACTCATCTTCGTACTGTTTAATAGCGTCTTTTTTTACTTCATACCTCCTTTGCCAAACACTTGTTAAAAAATGCATGCAAATACCTTTACATAATACAAAATGAGTCAATCTGCAACAGCAGCTTAGTATGACAATCCCTGAAAAGTGTATTCATTCTTAATAGCTCAAACGTTCTTTGTATGTTTTAATATAGGAGAGCCTTTGTGGTATTGTAATAATAATAGCCAATGTTGGGCTCATTACTCAAAACAATTAGCATGTGACATGGATGTTTGTCATCCTTTCTCCCGACGAAATTAAAATAATAGCTGTATTTCCAGCCGCTATATGAAGTTGATTGAATTTGATTTTAATGATTGAATTTTAAATCATTAGCAATTGTGACAAAATTACCCTTTTTTTGGATTGTAACTGTAATATTATTACTTGCATTTAAATACACAACTAGTAACCAGGGAAAGTAATATTATTACTGTACGTTAATGTCTTACTAGTAAGTAGTTACTGCCCAACACTAATAATAGTTAAATATCCCAGAGATAGTAAGAGATGTAATCGCCCTTTTTTCCACCAAAATAGGAGAACATCATAACCATGTTGCATAGAGTCAGATATAAGAATATTTTAAATATGTATACTTCCTCATCTGACGTTCTTGTTTTGGTACTGTTCACATGTTCTTCACCACGCCGCGTTCAGATATAGCTTGTGCGCATGCGTGACTCCGTTTCTGGTTTTGTGCTGCGTGTATTGTGTAGTAGCCAGGCATGCGCAGTGTCGGTTTCAAGTCATCCGTTTCGGGATTTGGGGTACAGTCATGCGTAGCTCCAGTCCTGATTCTCAACTGATCCGTTTTGGGGTTTGTATGTTCTTGTGAAGATTGGTTCCGCGCGCAAGTGCGATGTGCGTCTCGCCTCGCCTCGCCTTCTTAAGCGCTTTGTTTGGGCGGTGCGCTTAACGAGAGCAGACATCGAGAAGTCCACCATTTTTGTGACGATTTTTATTTCCACGTATTTATAAGCGCGAGGGTTTGTGTATTGCACTAATGTCTATGTCACTAATGGAGTCTGGGTTTTCCAGCGAGGAGGTGCTGAATGTCCGCTTCCCTCTTCACCGCGCCTGCAGAGATGGAGATGTGGGCGCGCTGTGTCTGCTCCTCCAGTGCGGCGCAGAGCAGCTGGCCGTGGAGGACTCTTTCTACGGGTGGACTCCTCTACACTGGGCTGCACACTTCGGCAAGGTACATAATCACGTTCATTTATGAGCAGCATACCCGGATACAGCGTGCAACAAAATGCATACTTGATTAAACCATTATTTGTTACTCTTCTTAATAAAATGCAATGTATTGCATCTTTCATTTATTCATGCGTTGTAAAGTTATTCGTGAATGATTCTCAAACCGCATCAGAAGATGATAATGGGATCGTGCAAATGTCATCCGGCTTGTGTTGACGATCCAACGTTAGTTGAACGTTGCGCGTAACGTTACATTCAGTGATGAACTGCGACACTTTGGCTTGATCTTTCCGTTTCAATTGTTTTCTTCATTTTCTTGTTTTAAACAAACGTGTCTTGTGATTATTAATCCGTGTTGGTTGTAAAAGAGCAAAACCGAAACGAAGACAATTAGGAATTTTACGAGTCCGTTTTCGAGAGGAAATATTTTTGGAAAGAAATGCAGTTGTATTGATGTCGATTGATGAATTGATTTTCAACACAACTGATATATATATATAATACGTCATAAATTAACTAGGCTAAATGCAACGAATGAGTGTTACACTTTTTAGTGACTTAGTTAAAGGGGTCATATGATGCGATTTCAAGTTTTCCTTTCTCTTTGGAGTATTACAAGCTGATTGTGCATAGATAAGATCCCTGAAGTTGCAAAGACTAAAGTCTCAAAACCAAAGAGATATTCTTTATCAAAGTTAAGATTCTGCCACGCCCCCCTAAAACGGCTCGTTCTAACACGCCCCCACATATCTACCTCACTATGTGGAAATATTTGCATAATGAGGCCCAAATGTACACGCAAAGAAAGAAGGCGTGGTTTCAGTAACTGCAGTTAGTGTTGAAGCAGTCATGTCAGGGAGACGCTGTGTGTTTCTAGGCGAAAGCAAAAGCACTTTATTTGGCCTTCCGAAAGTAGATGCATTTAGGAATCTTTAAGATGACTTACAACAGAACAGCAATGCATTTTATGGACGACCGTTTCGTGAACCTAG